GGGCGCGGATCAAAGGCCCAACTGGGCCGTTGGGCCTAGTTTGGGATTAGAGATCAATCTAACACTGTGGCGTCGCCATGCGCGGCTACCGCCGGTGCCACGCCATGGAGAACCTCGTCGACTGCATCCACATCCCCTCCCCATACGTGGCTCACAGCTGCGGCACAACGTTTCCCTACCATGGACAAGAAAGCCACCGCCAGGTGTGCCGGCACACGCCGTGCCGCTGCCGCGGCGAGTCGTGCGGGTTCATCAGCTCCACAGCCGCGCTTCTGGACCACTTCGCCTGTGCGCACACTTGGCCATGCATCACCAAGGTCAGGGCCGAGCAATGTAGTGCGAGGAATACTTACCCACAGCTCACCCTTCACCCGCTCTGCCTTGTTGGGGAATACCCTATCATCACGATCAGCGGCGTCGAGGGCGGTGACGTAGTGGTCCCACGTGCAGGTCGGCTGCAGCTCTTCGCGAAACTGCACTAAGCCAGGGAAGTGTAGCCTGCACAAAAGGCCAAGGATGCCGTTGGGCTTGCGGTTGTGATCACCCCCACTGATCTTAATCCAGCCCCTGCCCAAGTGATTATTAGTTTCCATTGTAATTTTCAACATATCAAACAAAAAATTATTGAGAACATCTAAAGTTACTTACTTTTTCCCAGAGGGTCGAATCATCGGGCGTCTCACAAGAGGTATCGGTCGCCTCGGGAGGGTCGAGGGACCTCGCTACTAGACCTGGGAACCCACTGCCTCCTCCTCCACCTACTCCTGCTCCTCCTGTACCTCCTCCTCGTCACCAGAGGCATGTGCGGAAGGTAGGTCCTCCTTGTCACCAGGTACCTCCTCCTCAGACGATGACGAGGGAGCTACAAGCGACGGGGGCCTTGCCCCTTTACCCTTCCCTCCACCCCTGCCTCGACCCCTCCCTTGACCTTTCCCTGAAGCTGACCCTGAAGCTCCGCTCTTTTCGTAAAGCGCCGCGAGCTTTCTCGTACCGCCCACCATTGTTCAATCACCTGCAATTAAAAAAGAGTAAACCAATCAACACAGATAAACAAAACATACTTAGAAAGATATGGTAAATAATAAATAAATTAGTACGGCTCATACATGTATTAGAATAATCATCATGACCGGGATTAGATGGATCATAAGTCTCATCATCACTATCACACGTGTCGATATAATCATCATGATCGGAAATGTCGTCATCACTGTCATTGCCTAAATGTAATCGCTGAAGTAATTCTAAGTCCTTCACATTCTGAACCTCGTCTCCAGCGTCCTCGTCAGCAACCCTTTCATTGTCTACTTCTATTCCGATAGCTTCGGTTAAGTCTATCTCAAAACTCCCTTCAAGCCCATCTTCTTGGAAGAACTCTCCGTCATATGTGTTGGGGTCTATGTTGTAATCTTCATTGTTTGGTACAGGTAGTTTACCGTGTGGCGATACCTTGTACACAACATCCCAACCCTTAAGACGGGCGTCGGTTTGGCATGGGTATGAGAGATAATAAACTTGTGTGGCCTGTTGAGCCACAATATAGACATCGTCTCCTGGTAAGACGGATGATTGTCGAATTTCGACTAGCCCAAAATTAGGGGTCCGTCTCACTACTGATGGATCAAACCAATGACATTTGAATATGACTGGATTAAGAGGTTTGCAACCATAAAACATGAGTTCGTATATTTCTTCAAGTCTTCCGTAGTACTCGACCACATCAATGCCTGGCGTAAAAACTCTGGTATTTGTGGTTCTTCGATTGGGCCGACTCTGCTCGTGGCTTGTTGTGTGAAAGCCATATCCATTCATGTCATAACCGATAAATGACTTGACCCTATAGGCACAGCCATTGGCAACCTGTCTCAACTCGGCACTCATAGACGCATCAGTTTGGCCCTGCAAGTTCAAGCAGGGCGGTTCGTTATATTATTCGCATGTACGAGCAACTTGTAATGTCAAACTAAGTACGAGCTAAATTGGACTGTACCTTCTGTTTGAACCAAGAAATGAAATCGGGCATTTTATTTCCCGCACCCTCTCTGAGATGGGTCTCAGCTTCCTGCGGGGTAGGTTCCCTTGATTCACGCCAGAATCAACTATGAAATTCCCTGTACCAACGAGAAACATGAGAGTTGGACACAGAATAGTGACTACTTGAGAACAAGTTTGTTGAGAACTTACAGCTTGTGTAGCTGGTAGCTTTGTGCGGTGTTTTGTTTTAAACTACAAATCACCTGGTACTAATAGCTTTTGCACTGCTCATTGTTTTCTTTTTCAAAGCTATGGATAACAATAAAGCAGTAGCTTCTTTTTTGCCTAACTGGAATGAAACAGTATGGTCCACATAGTAGTTTTCTTTTTCAAAGCTATGGATAACAATTTGAATGCCTTTTGTTTTAAACTACAAATCACCCTGCCTGCTCTGGCGATTTGCTGCAAGAGCGAGGACGCGGCAGAGAAGATACGACTACGGTTGCTACATCACGACGTCTGCGGTCTGCTAACTTTAGGCGACGCCGGCCACCCGGCCATTTGCAAACGCGACTGGCATTCCAAGTTTCCATGGCTCCACTCATAATTCGTTTCATTCACCAGGCATTCCAAGTTTGCTTAGGTTTAACTAATGGTACTGTAATTTCTCTAGCGGACCCTCTGAAAGCTACTGCTTATTTGTTGGAAGACTATGTACTAAATTTGTTTGCTTAATGCTCTATAACACTAAATATTCAGATCGCAAGATGTTTATGAAAATAATGATGTGCTTACGAAGAAAATCTTACCGGGGCAGAGGGATACTGCAGGGAGTCGGAGGCCGGGGGCGGGACACGCCAGGGCGGGCAGCGCCATGGGCGGGGCGGGACGTCGAGGGCGGGCGGCGCTGGGGGCGGGATGCGCCGGGGTGGGCGGCGCCGGGGGCGGGGCAGCGATGCCACGCTCGTGGCGGGGCGCGGTGGGGCGGGGAGGCGGCGGGGGGTGGCGGCGTGCGGTGCGGCGTGTGTGTGAAGGGCCGGGCAAGGCGGGGCGCGGTGGGGCGGGGGGTGGCGGCGTGCGGTGCGGTGCGGCGTGTTGTGTACGCGACGGTGAGGGCCGGGGGTGCTAACCGCTGGGGGCATATGAAGGAGTATGCCAAGTGCCAAGATCTGGGACACTCGGCATTATTTTTTTATTTTCATTACGGCCCGATACTGTGCAGTGGGGCCGGTCAACGAAGTTGTGGAGTGTCCCCTATATGACACTCGGCAACTATTCTTTTCGCCGAGTGTCTGGTAGAAAACACTCCGCAAAATAAATCAATATTTCATGCTCCACCGTGCTCCTTCTTCATAGCGTGTTCTACTAAATTTGTTTCAATGTAATTTAAAAATACCTTGTCAAATTCACTCAACAATGCATATTTGATTTTTCTACGAATATTAATCCATTATTTCATGCGGTTATAGCTCAAATTCAATATATATCAATTAAAATTCTATAATTGCAGTTAATAAATTAAAATTATCAAACGGATCTGAAAAATTACCAAAATTTGACGTGAACCAATCTTTGTTGTCTATTGCCTATACAAAAAGTTTTGAAGTCAAACCCCAATTCGATCGTCACTTTGACTCCAAATCTTACCAGATCGTTCTCAACGCTACAATTCTTCTTTGGAGATGCTTCGGTTTGTAAAGGTCGTACGTGACAAATTGTGCGAAACCTTCTCAATTTTTTTCCACAGTCTCCACGTATGATATCAGGAGATCTTGACTAATCTCGTCATTTTCAGACTTCATTTGCTTTTTTTAGAATTTTAAAACCATTCAGCCACACGTGCGTGGTTGTGTTTCCTGAACAAAATGTTCGAAAATTCTTTTCATTTCCCGAGTAAGGCCCCAAAATGGACTCAATAACATGAATATGATTTCTCCACTCAATTTATTCCATTATTTGTATCACTTGCAGTTCAAATTTGACTTAAACCAAAAAATTCCTCTAAATACAATAAATTACTTAAATATAGAAAACAAATCGAGAAATATAACAAATTTTAACATGTAGTACCACATGTTGTATGTGGAGAGTAGAAAAAGTTTGGAGGACAGGAGAGGAAAAAATTTATTATTTTGCCGAGTGCCATTAAAAAACACTCGGCAACAATAATACTTTGCCGAGTGTAAATAAAAAACACTCGGCAAAAATATCAGTTTGCCGAGTGTCAACCAAAAGCACACGGCATACCTTGTCTTTGCCGAGTGTCTCTAAGTTATAACGGCAGGGCGGCGCACCCAACGACTGTCAGATGGCCGCCGCACGCCCAGCGCACGCGACTCCATGTTGCCGAGTGTCCGTGTTTGCCGAGAGTTTTGTTGTAGTTTACCGGGTGTTTTTTATTAGGCACTCGGTAAAATTGGCTTTTGCTGAGTGCTATATGTTTGCCGAGTGTTTCATTAAATACACTCGGTAAATTGGATGTTTACCGAGTGCCCAATGGAATGCACTCGGCTAACCCTTAAGCACTCGGTAATTTTACTGTTTCCGGCAGTGACGTGATAAAGCATATCTTTGCGTTTTTGACCGACCAATGAAAGGAAGCATATTTTTATGGAACCGTGCAACTCTCCTGCTCGCAGTCAATGATCCTCATCTCGGAAGTCGAAGAGAATGAGCCTCATATCGGAAGTGGAAGAGGCGGAGCAGAGAGGTCATAAGAGGAGGCCTAGGCGACCAGGAACAAGGACCGCAGTGATGAATGTGACGGTATGCGATGCCGACGCCCTGGAGTGCGGCGTGTGCCTCCTGACGCTGAGGCCGCCCATCTTCCAGGTACCCGCCCACCTTTCAGTTTTTCATGTTCGATTCGTATGCAACATTTCTTGAAACAAGTTCGCCGGGAAACGCAGTGCAAGGTGGGGCATGTGGTGTGCTCGGCCTGCCGAGACAAGCTGGAGGCCACCGGGAACGGCCTGTGCCATGTCTGCGGCGCCACCACGCGCGGCGGCTACCGCCGGTGCCACGCCATGGAGCGCCTGGTGGACTGCATCCGCGTCCCCTGCCCGTACGCGGCTCACGGCTGCGACGCGACACCTGCCTACCACGGCCAGGAAAGCCACCGTCAGGTGTGCCCGCACGCGCCCTGCCACTGCCCCGGCGACTCGTGCGGCTTCATCGGCTCCAGAGCCGCGCTGCTGGAGCACTTCGCCGGCGCGCACAACTGGCCGTGCACCACCATGGTCCGCGCCGGGGAGGAGTTCAGCATCCGCCTCCATGACGGCTTCAACTTCTTCCTCCTCGCGGACCATGACCGCCGTGGCGATGGTGAGCAAGCGGCCACCACCGGCAGCGTCCCGTGCCGACTGTTCCTGCTGAACGTGATGCAGGAACGGCTTGGCCGTGCCATCTCGGTGATCTGCATCCATCCTCACACATCCGGCGCCGCTGCCAACGGTGCTCAACAGCTACCGTTGACGCAATGCGAGCTGGTCTTCTCGCGCTTCCGTGACAGGAGCTCGTGCCGTAGCCACTACCAGTGGTCGGTGTTCAGAGTGGTGTGCACGGACCTCTCCAATGGGCTGCCCAACCCTGAAGGCTGCTTCCAGTTCTTGGTGCCCAACGCCGTTCTTGGGGTTGGGGACCACAAGAATTCTATCCAGGTTAAAGCACGTATCATCAACTAGATCAAACAGCTTTGTGTGTGCATGTCAAGGACTAATCTCAAACCTGCTGTAACGTGGACAAAGCATCCGGCCTGCTTGAAGTTGGTCTTGGAGACTTGGATATTGGGACTGATTCCATTGAAGAGCAAGTCATTCCTGGCCCCCAAAATTGTCCAGCACATAAGGATGATGGCAGACTTGGATGTGTGTTTCCTGTTCTGTATTTCCTGAGTTATATGTATGTTCCTTGTTCATCTGTTGCCCAGAGTCTAATGATGATCCTAATTCCGTTTCTCTTCTACCGGTGTACTCCTTTTTATCTTTTTTTAGTACTCCTTTTTATCTTATTAGTGCATACAATAAACCATGATGTCAAAAAGGGGCACCAAAAAGGCTATAGATTTAATTTCTCCTATGTTTTCTCTTGGATTAAGTCCAATTTTAAACCACAAATCTTTTGTTCGTCTAATTTTATGTATTAACCCCAACTACAAAACAAGACAAGTTTAGCGCTAACATGCTGTCTTCCAGACTAGTGGTTGTCAATTTCAAACTCTTGGGAATGTTTGCTTTAGGAATGCCGATTTTACATTTGGGGTCACCGACTGTGTGTACTGTCTTCTTTTTTTGAAGAACCAGCGGCAAGAGCATGCTGGGTATGTATTAATAGAGAAGAGTTTTACAAAAATTAAAAAAAAAAACACAACACAACCCTCACGAAGGAGGCAACAACAAGACCACCACCACGTAAGAACACAACACCAGCGAACCTCAGAAGCAACAACCATCGAAGGCCACCTTGCACGCCGCGGAGAACAAACAAGGTAGACTAGAAGGGGGAGGAGGTTTTCCACAACAATGCTTCCAAGGAGGGAAACGACATCCACAGATGCCGACACCACTGACAGGAGAACCACGGCTTTACAACCATACTCCCAGAGGGTAAATGACCCTCACAACAATGCCTCCAACGAGGGGCGTGACACCAAAGGCGGCACCATTGTTGGTCATGACCAACGGCCAAGCAGGGCCTTCGCCCGACAACCGCCGTGCCCAAGCCACCAAACCAGCCACACTATGACTCGGCATAGCCAAGAACCACAACAAGCTGCCGCTAGTAGGAGATCGTTGTGGTACCAACGAGGTCACATGCATGCGTGACCTGTCGCCGCCACGCCAGCCAACCAGGGCCGCCTCCATCCTACATAGCACCAACCACCGTGGGAAGTCACATCTTGTTCCTGTACCATGCAAAGGTTGTTGCCGACTTCGCTGCATGTTGTCGTCCCTCAAGCTTCTAGAGATGCCACGAGCATTCCCGCATGCACAAACTTCTTCAAAGAGCCACCATCCGGCTGTTGTCGCAGCGGTAGCGAGCCGACCACTGGCATGCGTGACCAGTCACAACCGCGCCGGTCGAAATGGACCGCAGCCAACCGAACAGATACCAACCAAATGAAGGTTGCTCACAGGAGAAAGCTTGCCACACCACTGTCCACTTGCACTGGACACCGCAACCAAGACCTTCCACTGAGACACCAAAGTTGGTAGCAGTCCTGCAAAGTTGCCACCAACATACCCGCTGTGCCTCGCCAACAAAAGGAGCCACCGCAGCCCTGCCGAAATTGGCCACCGCAAGCGAATCCCACGGTGGCCACGACCGCAGAGAAACGCCGTGGACGAGATATCGCTGCTGCAAACTGATGCAGTGCCGGCCGTGGAGGACCGATGACATCCTGACCAGCGCCGACCACCGCAGGATGCCCCAGGAAGGAACGAGGCCTCCCCAGCCCAGCAGCCTCGCTAACGCGCACGGCGGCCACCACTGCCGAGGCACCAAACTGGCACACCCACGCAAAGGGCGGCATTGCCTGCGCCACCACAGCACGCGCCGCACCATGGCCGGTTCACCCGCGAACGCCGCAAAGCCACCGGCGCGCCCGCACGGACGTGCCCCGTACGCGCCGCTCCGCCTATAGCCTCACACGAATCCGCGGCCTCCTTCCCGGGCTCCACCAGATCCGGCCAAGAGAGCCACAAATCGACGGTGGAGCACGCCAACCAAGCCGCCGCCGTCCGTCCGGAGGGAACGGAGCCCGGCGGCGGGAGGAGAGGCGCCGCCCGAGCCGCCCTGGGCGAGAGCGACACAGGGGTGCGCAGCCGGCCAGCCGAGCACACGTCCGAGCAGGATCTCCCACACGCCGGCGAGAACCAGCCCGTCACTCCCATCGCCGGCCAGATGCGCCCCTTGCAGATCCGGAAGGGGCTCGAGAACCTCGCCGCCGCCGTCCTTGGGAACTGCATGGGCATCCCGGCGGCGAGGTGCAGCAGCGACGGAGAGGGGCTGCGGTCGCTGGGGTGGAGGCTCGCCGCCCGTGTCGCCCTGTAGAGAGCGACGCGGGGGCTGGGGCTAGCTACTCCTCAGTGTACCATATTATCGCACTGTGTGTACTGTCATTGAGTTGAATTTTACTACTGGGGGACGCGTGGCGGGTCCAAGATTTTAGGCCTGGGTATTCAAAATGTATATGGGTATAAATAAAAGTTTTCATAATCGAAAGGCTAATATTTGTACCTACAAATTAAGCCACTAATTTAAATTTAAATCAATAAATGAAATACACTAGTAACAGAGGGGCCACGGACGGTTTCAGCACATGGCGCCAGCCACCAAGGCCCAGGTGGTCACCATGTGCTTGTTTGACACATGGAGGAAGAAAATTTTATGTGACACCATGTGCTTGTTTGACGCGTGTCCCAAGGCCCACCAGTCAAAACAATAATCAGCCCCACGGTATCGAGCCGATGGGCCTGAGCCCACGCTTCCGCTGTGGTTAGTTTTGTTGGCATGGGAAGATGTACTTGGGCACTAGAGAAGGAGAGACAATGGAACTCTTGAGTGGAATTACGGAGAATGACGCTAAGTCTTGGCTGACGATCACGACCGCAATCCTACCATAGGAAGATATTGCTAGAGTGGCGATCATATCGTGGACTATTTGGTTTGCACGATGGAAGACGATCCATGAAGATGTTTACCAAAGCCCTCTGTTGACGCATAATTTTATGGACAGGCTTGTGTTGGAGCTAGGGGAGGGGAAGCAAGTGCAGCAGCCCCAGACTCGGGTGTACCAAAGTAGGCCGACATGGATTGCACTCCCCTTAGGTGTTGTTAACATCAATGTTGACGTGGCTTTATCCAAGAACACATCCACGGCTTCGGAGGCAGCAATAGCAACATACCAGGATGGTTGATTTATGGGAGCCTCGGCATTGGTCCATCAGAGAATTGTCGACCCGGAGGTGATGGAATCCATTGCATACAGAGAAGGGATGGCTCTCACCTCAAACCTACGAGCTGACGGTCTCAGATTAGCCAGTGACTGTCTGAATGTCGTGAAGAGTATCCGGGAGATCAATGTGAGGAAGACAACTTTTAGATGTGTCGAGTTTGTACATGAGCACAGGGACTCAAATACCGGTACTCATATAAGATAGCTCGTTGCTCGATCGATGCTGAGTTAGGGCATCGGTGATGGATGCCTGCAGTTCAGTTGAGCTGGTGGTAGTTTAGTTGGGCTGTTGGGCCTTGTTAGGTTGTCTAATAGGGAGGAAAATGAGCAGAAAGACGTATATTTTGGGCTAGATTCGTTACAGAGGCCCCATATTAGGTTTCCTTTTAAAATACAAATACATATATATACTATATATATATATATATATATATTTAATCAAAATAATGTGTATCCATGTGAATACCCTTGAATATATAGTGTGCCCATCCCTGCCCATACGGAAGTATTACGGTCATTGATAAGGATGATGAACTCGCAGAGATGAAAACAAGAAATTTACTGCTTCGGACGGGATGAAATCGCAGAGATGAAAAGAGAAATTTACTATTTGGGACACCCGGATGGAAGTATATTGCGGTCACGGAGCAGGAATGGGTTGACGTGTTAAACAGCTATTGAACACGCTGCGCGGTGAATAGCGTTGTGTGGACTTCAAAAAAATTACGAACCAAAAAGACGGCAACCAGACGGACAAACATAAAAAAAATGGCAACCAGGTGGTTAAACAATCACACACGGGCGTGGCCGAGGACAAGTGCCGTCCATTCTGCGTTTTGTATAAAAAAAACTGGATCGGAAAGATCACTAGTTGAAAACGAGGTACTACAATCCAGCAGAAAAGAGCTGAACTAAAAGCATCTCCGAGATGTTCTAAATATCCCCGTGATGCTCGGTTTACCTATTTACGGGTCAAAAAGCTCTCCAACAGCCTCTTCATCGGCTACTCTAATTTTCCTCCTCGTGTATCCGGCGACTTTCGCTCGCAAAAAAAAGGTGGTGCCCAATAGCGACCTGCTTCACGTCCGCATTGCCAGCATCATGCTCAAGTAGTGGCGGAATCAACAGCTTTGATTAAGGGGGCCGGACAAATACGATGATACCTCTATTATGATAATTATGTACATAAGTGTATGTTTTCAACAGTTTTTTCAATGTTTTTACATATCTAGTTAGTATTCGTAACAAAAAAATCACAATTTTACAAGCGATTGTTCTGCCGGCCGAGAGCCCGTCCTTGGCGACTGAGGTCACTGCCACCATACGAACAAAAAAAGCACGGGATTGAAAAGGAAAAGGAGAAAAAATTCTGAGACTTTAAAAATAGAGAGTGGTTTAAAGACTCTGCTATAGACCATATCCAATTTGAAGTCTAAATAAGTTTAGAGAGCCAATTTAAAAATCCAAATTTAGGGCCTGTCTAGATTCTAGGGCTAAAAATTAGCTCATCTTGTGAAAATGGATTAAACATGAGCTAATTATAGGCTAATAAGGACTAATGGACTCTAACCACCAATTATCCCCATTAGCTCTTATTAGCCTAGAATTATCCCACGTTTAGCCTTTCTAATTGGTATGCAAAAACAAGACCTATTTATTAGCCCCATGATCCAAACACCCACTAAGTCTGTTGGTCTGGCATGACTCCTCCATGGCAAACATGTCATT